GACCTTATTGACCATGTAAACATACATGTCTAGAAAGCACTTACTGGCTAGTGCTGTTGCTATGATTAACTAACGAATACCCTGCATGTAACTGTTTGTCGTTGAACTAACCATCGCACAATGTTTTATGATCGAATTCATTTTCAATTTCATTTTTAAATGATTGTTGAACCAAACTGCAACATGTGTTCCACATATAATGTTCTTGTTAATTACCGATGCACACTGAGCCTAAATTATGCCATTAATCAACAACAATGACATCGCTAATGTCAGTTCAGTTCAATATATCAATATATTACACAGAACATTTGTACACGTGTCTATACTGTTCAGGGATGCTTAGTTTTTAAATATGTGTGTGTTGAAATGCCAGCAGTAATGGCAGAGCAACCAACATTGTCCATTCAGTTCTCCTTGTATTGCGTTTATACTGTCCAAATCTACGGTAAGAGGATGTAAATAGTCTGAGCCTAACTATGATGGATACCGTTGGCACTCCGAGGTTCCCAAGATGTTCCATAGCAGATGTAGCGGCCATAAAATTTCCGAGTCCCGTGATGGGATTCGAACCACGGACCTTCTGATCAGAGGTCGGACGCCTTGTCCACATGACCAAAGAGGTTAATCCCGTCAGCAAGCTGACAAGCTTTTTAAGGTAAGGATGTCATCTGTGGGATGACTCCACGCCCTGCTACATACTCCCCCGTCAACAGAAGGCACGTCCCGGGCCACATAGTAGGGTACTGAGGCTTATTTTGCTCAAATTTAATATGGACGTGCTCAGCCCCACGTTGGGCACCAATGTAGCGGCCATAAAATTTTCGGGTCCCGTGATCAGAGGTCGGACGCCTTGTCCACATGACCACAGAGGTTAACCCCGTCAGCAAGCTGGCAAGCTGACAAGTTAAGGATGCCATCTGTGGGATGACTCCACGCCCTGCTACACAGACATGAAGTTATAATCATTTGCATGATGCTTGCAAGTTTTTTCTTCCAGTTTAGGAAGTGGTGGAGATGTGATGGTGCCCAATCTTGTGACCATGGAAGAGTTCAAAGACATAGTCAGGTATAGAAGCTATGAAGACAACTTACTTCGGTATAAGTGCATTGTCCTGATGGATGAACACACTTTTAGTTTCCGCGATGTTCTGCCTTGATATTCTTAAGCAGGTGAACGGATTAGTATAGTATTGGCCATTAAGGACCTGATCTTTCAGCAGAAGGAATATTTTGGAATCCCAAGAAACCGACGCAACACTTTGCCTTCTTCTTCGGAGAGGACGTGAGACGTTTCCACTGCTTTGACTGTTGTTTAGTCTCCGGCTTATAGTGATTAATTATGAATACAAATCGCTCATCTGGGTATCTTTCTTCAAAACGACGTAAATTCTCACAGAGATGATGGAACCCAGAGTGCTGAAACCTAGTCATGCCCACAGTTCATTCCTCAGAATGTTCTCTCCAATCTCAAGATGGATGCTGATTGTAATGACTATGTGAAGTGTGGTGATTCGTCAATCATCCATCATAATAACATGTATGTCATGAACATTTGTCTTAGTGTGAGGTCTTCCTGATCTTGGATCGTCTTCGGGGCACTCTCTCAGAAGGACATCATGTGTACAGAATTCAATTGGCAATCCTTCGAATATACCACGGTGTCTTACACGACAGCTTAACAAACATACCACCTTGGTACGACACGACGCCAAGACAGCCAGGTTTCCACAAATGGCCACCCAGTAGTAGCCAATACATTGTTCTGAACACCCATGATCATGGCTCTCTGCACAGCACATTGAGACACCTAAACCGACTGGGCCACCCGTGACCCCGGGTCAACTAAAAAGGAGTTCCCGAGGGTATGAATACAGAGGAAGACTACAAACGTCTTCAGGGAGATACCGGCCACGTTTCGACGACCGACCCCAAGTTTCAAATGTATACTTTCTTTTGACTGGCATTTGACTTCAGTATTTAAGCAAAAGAACGAAAAATACCCGTTGGCATAAATGTTTGGACTGTTTGAAGTAGAATACTATACTACACTGATATTAAGATTGTTTACAAGTTTGAATATTGGATCAAGTCTTGACCAGACAATCCAGTGGTTGACACCATGATTGGTTGGTTTGTTGTTTAACGCCGCACTCAGCAATATTCCAGCTACATGACGGCGGTCTGTCAATAATCGAGTCTGGACCAGACAATCCAGTGATTGACATCATGAGCATCGATCCACGCAATTGGGATCGATGACATGTATCAACCAAGTCAGCGAGCCTGACCACCCGATCCCGTTAGTCGCCTTTTACGACAAGCATAGTCGCCTTTTACGGCAAGTATGGGTTGCTGAAGATCTATTCTACCCCGGAATCTTCACGGGTCTGAACATGTGTGAATCTCCATCAAATAGTGATGAGTTAATCCTAACGTATCCACAAAGAAGCTCACTTTAAAAGATCAGTCCGTTGTAATAACTATCTGTTTCAGCTTCAAATAATATAAATACGTTTATAACGAACACGTTTATAACAAATTGACGGATATAACGAACATATTTTTGGTCTCGACCATTTGCTGTATATATGCTTTATATATGCTTATAAATTAAAGAACTACGGTTATATCGAACTAAAGTCAGTTGTCACTTTGAGCTTTATAACCTTAGTTAACTGTAAATAAATAAATATGATGAATTGACTTTCATGAGGATTGATATGAAAAAGAAAGTGTTGAAACAGTTTTCAAATATTCTTCTCTTATGCCTCATCATATCTCATATCTGATGTATTGCTTTCAAATTTCCAAATATTTCAATATAAAAAGTCAACGCTAGAGAATAACTAGTCTCGATCACCTGCCGGAAAGATTCCATTTGTTCTTAAAAGGCAAAATAGCGGTGAAAAGTATATGGATAACTGAAAATCAGTGATGACACCAGGTGTTCTCCAAAAGGTGGGCATATCCTGTTCTCCTGCTAGTCCCCGCCCATCACACAATGTACATACAGAAGTAGGCGTTTGTTTGTTGCCTGACGCCGTACAGTAGTCCCGCCACACGGCGGCTGACTGCAAACATTCTAGTCGTGATCAGACAATCCAGTCTGTTGAAACTAAAAACGATAAGTTCAGATATGCGAATATGTCAATAATAGCTTTTTCCATTGTAAGCTGTACATAAAAGAATAATGTATGTGACAAACTAGAACATCGACCTTATTCAGCGTTAAACATATTGATTGAGTATAGCATAAACTCCCATGGAAACTAGAAACACTATTAATTCACTCTGTCAATAAATCCTGTAACCGAACTTTCTATCAAATCAAATATTATATCAAATCCGATATCCAAAAAACATCCAAAAGTAGGCATAATTCACTAACTGTCCATAAAAAAACACACGACAAAAACCATTTCCATAATCATAAGGAATATCTACAAAAAAGGAGTCGATTTACGATTCCGACCATATCATAAGCATGGGTTTATGAATCACTATCGCATAGCGATGATACTAGGTGTTCGCGAAAAGGTTATATATTACTGCGTGTAATTTATGTGTTGCAATTACACGCAATGACAGCTGTACAAGCACAAAAAAAGGATATCTTGAACGTTTAATAAACACAATTCCACTTTCCGAAATATGTCAATATTTTACACATCCATTCATGCATTTAAATAGATAGGAAATTCTATGAAGAATAGGTTGTTGAGATGATCATACAACCACTGCACCGTGAGTTTTACAACTGCGATATTTATAAAATTGATGACGTAACAGAATGAACACAATGGAATCAATATTATTATCAATATTATTACTTCATATTCGGAGAATATTTATTATTAATTATAGGAGGCGTATCAGTTTGACAAATAATAATAACTGCTTCGTACTTAACAATTACTTCAGTTTGGTACACTTGTTCTCAAAAGGTACAATCAGTTTGACAATATGGAGGGATCTAATAACAAACTAAATCTTAAACTTTTACTAAGGTGAATGTATATTTTTGTATAAATCGTATAATTTTAATACACAACGCGAGTATAGGAACATGTCACAGTAACAAATGTTATATTTGGTATTATACTTTCATAGTAAAGAACAAATTTTAGTACCTTTTTGGAGACTCCCATCCGGGATTCGAACCCACGCTAGCAACATGTTAGCAGATACGTTAAATGCAGCTATGTATAATGTATGTGTAGATGTGATTTTCTAGATAAATTTGGAAAATTATAACATCCATAACATCTTGTATCTAATTCAAAGGAACGCCTTTAATAGAGATATATTTTATGACATATATGCTATAATTTATATGACGAGAAATGTAGATGCAGGCCTTGCTTCAACTCTGACAATAGCCTGCATGTACTTAACAGATGGGACTTCCATCGACTATGACAGATGCTGTGGGCAAGAGCTTCCTAAATGATAGAACAATCAATTAACAATGTCTGTGTTTGGGCGGGTATTAAATGACGCGTTGCGTTGGTTTACAGCCAGAGGAAAGCTTGTCCGGCGGCTTGTTATATTGATGCTCCGTTTGTACTGAATAGGCATTTCGTGTGTCGCAAAACATCTGTAAACTGTGTGGCGTTTTAAAAGTTGTCTCCTCAGAATCCAAAAGAACTATAGAGCTAAAATAGATTGTTCTTTTAGGATTGGGAGACAGGTAAAAATATATATTGTGTCATAGCAGTGAAAGATAGGTCGTTTAAAACAATGACCACTTGTATGTATGTATGTATGTATGTATGTATGTATGTGTGTATGTGTGTATGTATGTATGTATGTATGTATGTATGTATGTATGTATGTATGTGTGTATGTGTGTATGTATGTATGTATGTATGGATGGATGTGTGTGTTAGTGTTAGTGTGTGTTAGTGTTAGTGTGTGTGTAATTATAATAACTGCGACATACAACAACAGTCAACAACAAAACTCCACTTAGTTATTATAAATGTCTGAAGACCTACCTGTGAGGTCATCACACAGTCGCCACAGGCCCGTGTACGAGGAGTGTAGATAGTAGTCTACCGTAGCATTCGACTGCGGATCCGTTTGAACTAAAACTTTGAATATTGGCGTTGTGTTGGACAACTGCAGGATGGTGTAGCTCTCCAGACTATCGTTGAGTGACTTCATCACAGACTGGTCAAATGTGTAGCTCTGCCAGGCGTCGACAGACACCGCTATCATTATCATCATGGCGGACAAGGCCCCAAAGAAGATGGCATTCGCCATCAGAATTATCAGCGGTGAAGCCATCATCGTATCGCATCCTACGGGTCACCAGTTTGAGGCAATATTCAAGGTATTCGGGTACTAGCGTCCCGTCTCCCAGATTGTCCCAGGTCCCGTATCAACAATTATGAGTCCGTGTCCTGTCCGACCCTTTACGTGACAGAGTAGTTCAAGTCTGTTATAAATGGTTAAATATTCATCCAAGTGGTTCCACGTCACGCTGAAGACAACACTCTGGAGAGAGAAGCAAGGCCTCTTCTGTACCACCAGCCTGTCGTTGCTTCCCGCATCTAAAGGTGTACCAAGCACGAGAAGAGTCCAACAGCCTCTCCCGACCGGCCCCGTCCTGCTCGGTGACAATCAGCCCTGAACAGCGCTCCCGGGCGTATAACACTATTGCGAAGTGGCTTGTCACCGCGTTATGTCGGCCAGGTTTCTATGGCAGCAGGAGCCGGCAAAGCATACCTTTCATCAAACAGGCATCGATTCTTTCTACCTGGCTGCGTTGTGGCATTTTGTCTTCAATTTGGCACGATTCGCGTTGGCTTCATTGTGGTAAATGCTAACAGTTCTTCCGTGTGTTTAACAATCTTACTATTGGGGATCCATGTTTGTAGATGGGATTGCTAGTTAATGTAACTTTTGGAATAAGGCTACTGAGACCGAACCCGGGTTTTTTAATTATATGTTTATGATCCAAATGATTTGTCCTCTACGCAGTACTGTGAAGGACCCAGCCGTCTAAGCCGCCGTAGTGTGTTGCGTCCCTTGGGCGTACTAGAATCCCATGAGCGTGGGTTCGAATCCCAAATTTGTCCTTACTTGTTTTGTCAGCAGAAAACACTTGATATCGGGTTCCACCAAAGCAGTAACCGTCTAAGACAAGTCACGCACAGGGCACCCACTCACATTGAACAAACACGCATGGGTGCCACTGTAAGAAAGTATGTCTGTCTGTGATAGTAATAGACATATGCAGACAATATATGTCAATTAAATTGTATTGTCATGGGACATCCTTTATTGTATTCAGAGGTTGTATACATAAGCAGATGCTTTATGGATGCCAGCTTCTTTATAACATAACGTGTATGAGCATATTCATGAGGTACATCCTTCTGTCCACGAAATAGAAACATCATATATTACAAGCTTCAGTGTTACAGCTGTATGTCACTGACCTTTGACCCTTTAATACATATTGATTACGTGGCTTTTAGCAAATATAATCCACGTCTAATTTAACATCCGGAATGTAATCCAATAACATGTTGCCATGGCAATGTCCCCTTGGTCTTTAATGAGGTTAAGCCATTAAGCAATGTACAGTTATAGTGGAGAGTTATTATCAAGAAAACAACATTGACACCACTCCTATACCTATATCAGTTTATAAACAGTAATCAGTTACAATAACCCACCCCCACCAACACCCCCTCTCCCCCTCCACGTTAATGCAGACGATCACGTGACCTACCAAGTAACTGAGAAACACGGGATATCCGGTTTCCAGACTTCCGCCTGTTTTTGAACGACTCGAGGGCAATCGATTTTTTTTATAAGCTTGAATGTTATTCGAAATCGGAAATCAGTTTCAATAACAATAAATTAAAGGTACCAAGAGGTGTGTTGTCAATCCGCTATATTAAATGATAGGGACCTCTTCCTTGGTCTTGGTGTAGAGCGTCCGCCCGGAGCGTGAATGTTCGGGTTCGATCCCGGCAGCGTCATGCTGTTACCAAGAGACTTTAAAAGATGGTACTTGTTGTTACCCTGGTGCTCGGCAATAAGGGGTTAAAACAGGGACTGGTCGGCTCGGAGTCAGTATACTGTGTCTGAGTGGGGTATTCATGTAAAACTGCGACATGGTATATATAAATCTCTCTCTCTCTGTGTCTCTCTCTCTCTCACTCACTCACTCACTCGTTCACTCACTCACTCACTCGTTCACTCACTCACTCACTCACTCGTTCACTCACTCACTAACTCGTTCACTCACTCGTTCACTCACTCACTCACTCACTCGTTCACTCACTCTCGTTCACTCACTCACTCACTCGTTCACACACACACACACACACACACACACACACACACACACACACACACATCATCTCATTTCACCTCAATTGTACGATTCCGACTATATCATGATCAGGCGTTCAGGAATCACCATCAACTAATGATCATACCAGGTGTCCCCACCGGTGGCACCCGTCACAAACCGTGAAATAAATAATCTCACAATGGAGTTGACAGATGCCACCTGCCAAACCTATTACATGCAACATTATGTATTACGTGCATCGCATGACCCTTTAACTGCAGTTAATTAAGAATTCATGGGTAACATCCATTCCCAATCCATGTTTCCGAGTACATGTTGCTATATCTAAAACATAGTACGAACTTCAAAGTATCTTGGGTTAAGTCAATAAACAGTCGGGAGAAGAAGCATGACCTGTCGGTGTGAGGTATAGTCTGGAAGGTAATTTAAGGTACCGACGTTTACTACAATATCTGAAAAACTATTGGACCTTCTCCAGTCAAAGTTGGTATGAGATTATTAAACAGTCATACATAACTGGATATTATATTTAAAGACAGTCGGTGCATGAATAAAAAATCGGTCTATTTAGCTATCACTATATTTCATCAACAACCAGACCTGTTCGTCACGGGTGGAACGAGCATTCATTGTAACAGCCATCTGCATAATGCTACCCCTGCGTCACAGGGCCATATGACACAGTTGAACCAATCAACTCAACTCGAAAGGTTGCACGGGAATCACGCACGCACGAATACGGTGTTAGCGGTGGGCGTCTCAACGTGCGTGATTCCCGTGCAACCTTTCGACATGTGCAACCTATATATGCCATGAGCTCAAGGATTGTCATGTTTCAGCAGAGCGCTAAATTAGGCGGGTTGGTTTGTCGCGGTGTACGTCCCCTGTGTCCGTGGCTGATGCCACAAGCTTAGCATATTGACACAATGGGACAACATTACTTCATAGCTTACACAATATCACACAATCAACGGTTGTGTCATGGTTACCGCGTTGTCTATCTGCGCAGTTACCCTTGCAGCTGTAGTCGTATTGGTAACTTTCATCACTATTTTGTCTTTACGCACAGTGGAACCTGTTTCGACAGATAATCGAGAAATATGATTCTCTAGCGTTGAGAAAATGCACTGTCATTCCTGTCCATTAAAAGTTTTTACCTAAAAACACGTTAATGTTTTATAGAATTTTTTATTGCCTCACAGGACAAATCACTACAGGACAAAACATTACATAATATACATTTTAGTTTACAATTAACAAATGCATATCACATATGGATCCGGGGGGACATGTACATTTATAACTTTAAAGTATGAAATACAATTGTGATACATTTTCTAAGGCCGTTGGAAATCTGATTTCTTCTTCTTAAATTATTAAACGTCATACAAGTAAGAAATGAAACTCATTTTCAACATAAATCTGGAAAAAATTAGTACATTCTTCAACTGCGTTCACATCATTTATAAGACTGACGACCACATGGGGTTTATCAACGTTTAATTTTTTCTTTGTTCGGGAAAGAGGGTGATTTTAATGAGTTAATACTATAAACAAGTTAAATCTATGTAGTTTATATATCATTCTGGAATATATTCTAGATATTATGCGTACTGAGTCTGATGCGTAAATTAAAAAAAATAATAATCTGTTTTAATACAGTTTATCGTGGAACCAAAACCACGGATATCTGTGTCCTTGTTCGCAAACAATGTGGCGTCAGCACACGTGTCAATATCGCCTCCGTTATGTAATACTGCCCACGGCTATCTCGGAGAATCTTGATATGTAACACTCACGGATAACAAGCAGATAAATCGATTCAGACGCAAGGCAATATATGAAGGACTCGTTGTGTCCTGTTAGTGAGCGAAGCGCTCGTAAAATATGCATTTAGACTCAGGGACGGTATAGAAGTAAGTTTGATTAGGGTTGTCCGCAAAATATTTCACTTATCATCTTAATGTGTGAAGACAATTCGTTGTGACATTGGCTTTAGCCGCTATAATATTGGTGAAACACACCATCCCATGGGTGGTGGTGACAAACCCAGAATCAAGGACCGAGGCGAATGTGAAATTGCGAATCTTTGCGGCGCCTTGAGACTACTCGGCCAGAATGTTGTGATGTTTCTCTGTAACGACTGGGAAATATACGTCAGCATAAAACTTTGCAGATTATTGTGAAATGCGTTTTAAAGGAAATGTTGTTTGCCTGGCAGATCCAGAGATGGTGGTACGTTTCAGACATCTTGTGCCAGCCAATGTCAGCCCCACCTCACTCAACCCACTCCTCTGTGGACTCTAAATTTGATGTCACGTCGATAAGCACACGCTCAGTGAAATGATGCCATAAATTGACAGAAATACAGTTCTTGTGAAAAATAGAAAACGTGTTGAGACCATGGTATAAAAAAGCGGAATATTTTCGTGAGCATATTTTAATTGTTATATTTATTTACTCATTTATTCATTTATAACGTATTTAATTTCAAGTCAATACACTTGTTCTTTTCTTCTGGAGGTCAGTGACCCCTGTTTTGTAGAAGGTCAAATTCTGTTCTGTCAACGAGTCCTCCACTGCACCAACGAATTCTTGGTCCTCGTCAAAACAATGACCACGCAAATGTTTTTTATTTATTTATTAAACAGGTGGTAGTGGCCCGGTTCCACAAAGCAATCTTAGCGCTAACACCCATACTCTAACATAGACTTACATACTTCCAACAGTCGTAGCGCTAAGATCGCTTTGTGGAACGGGGCCAAGATCTAGAGAATAGGGTAGATGAGGTCACATCCCGTATCCACATCCCCTACAGCAGCCACTGCAACATGACTGGAACTGGAACATTGCCCCGATGGAGGAGAACACTAAGGTGACCAAAGCGTTTTTAGTTGATCGGGGTGCCGTTGTACAAATCGAACTTAACGCCAAGGTGATCGTAACTCGACAGCGCTAAGGTTGTTTTGTACAACGACACCCTGCCTGCTTGAAAGGTGTTGGTCTTCAAGAGACCCAAATTATGTCCACTCCATGAATTCTTGTTTCCTCTCTGGATCATTGTGATGTACCCGGGTCTCATCACCCGTCATGTCTGTCTTGCGATAATATCTGGTTAACAAGGCATTGAAGGTGGTGACCCGTGTACACTTGATTTCATCCGATAGCATTCTAGGACCTCATCTGGCACAAACCTTGGATGTACATGTAGATCTAGGATTCCTTCTCTTTACCTTTAAAAATAAATGCGACAAAACCCTTTCCATCTTCATAAGAAATCTCTGACAAAAGCAAACTCAGTTGTACGACCCCGACTATATCATGAGTAGTTGGGATGAATCATAGTGATTATACCAGGTGTTTGCGAAATGGCGAACGTACCGTGCCCCGTCGGTGGCACCCGTCACAAACACATGCAAAGGCAAGTCAAATGTTCATCGGGAAATACAAGCCTTAGGGAACATCATTATGGTACAAGTCAAAACTGCG